GTAGTAGTATTAGTACTAGTAGTAGTAGTAGTACTAGTAGTAGTAGTACTAGTAGTAGTAGTACTAATAGTAGTAGTAGTATTAGTAGTAGTACTAGTAGTAGTAGTAGAGTAGTACTAGTAGTAGTAGTAGTATTATTAGTAGTACTATTAGTACTATTATTAGTAGTACTAGTAGTAGTAGTAGTGTTAGTAATACTAGTAGTAGTATTAGTACTATTAGTAGTAGTATTAGTATTGGTAGGAATAGTAGTAGTAGTAATAGTAGTAGTAGTAGTAGTACTAGTAGTAGTATTAGTAGTAGTACTAGTAGTAGTAGTACTAGTAGTAGTAGTACTAGTAGTAGTAGTACTAGTAGTAGTAGTATTACTAGTAGTATTACTAGTAGTACTAGTAGTAGTACTAGTAGTAGTAGTAGTATTATTAGTACTAGTAGTAGTAGTAGTAGTACTAATAGTAGTAGTAGTATTACTAGTAGTAGTAGTAGTAGTACTAGTAGTAGTAGTAGTAGTAGTACTAGTAGTAGTAGTACTAGTAGTAGTACTAGTAGTAGTAGTACTAGTAGTAGTAGTAGTACTAGTAGTAGTAGTACTAGTAGTAGTAGTAATACTAGTACTAGTAGTAGTAGTAGTACTTGTAGTAGTAGTAGTACTACTAGTAGTACTAGTAGTAGTAGTATTGGTGGTAGTAGTAGTAGTACTAGTAGTAGTAGTACTAGTAGTAGTAGTAGTAGTACTAGTAGTAGCAGTAGTAGTAGTAGTATCAGTACTAGTAGTATTAGTAGTAGTACTAGTAGTAGTACTGGTAGTAGTAGTAGTAATATTAGTAGTAGTATTATTAGTAGTAGTTGTAGTAGTAGTAGTTGTACTAGTATTAGTAGTAGTACTAGAAGTAGTAGTAGTAGTACTAGTGGTAGTAGTAGTACTAGTAGAAAAGTAGTAGTAGTAATACTAGTAGTACTAGTACTAGTAGTACTAGTAGTAGTAGTACTAGTAGTAGCAATATTAGTAGTAGTATCAGTGCTAGTAGTAGTAGTAGTACTAGTAGTAGTACTGGTAGTAGTAGTAGTAGTATTAGTACTAGTAGTACTAGTAGTACTAGTGGAAGTAGTACTTGTAGTAGTAGTACTAATAGTCGTAGTAGTATTAGTAGTAGTACTAGTAGTAGTAGTAGGAGGAGTACTAGTAGTAGTAGTATTATTAGTAGTACTATTAGTACTATTATTAGGAGTACTAGTAGTAGTAGTAGTGTTAGTAATACTAGTAATAATATTAGTACTATTAGTAGTAGTATTAGTATTGGTAGGAATAGTAGTAGTAATAGGAGTAGTAGTAGTACTAGTAGTAGTAGTAGTAGTACTAGTAGTAATAGTAGTACTAGTAGTAGTAGTAGAAGTAGCAGTAGTAGTAGTAGTACTTTTATTAGTAGTAGTATACTAGTAGTAGTACTAGTAGTAGTATTAGTAGTAGTACTAGTAGTAGTAGTACTGGTAGTAGTAGTATTACTAGTAGTATTACTACTAGTAGTAGTAGTATTTCTAGTAGTACTAGTAGTTGTACTAGTAGTCGTAGTCGTGTTATTAGTACTGGTAGTAGTAGTAGTACTCATAGTACTAGTAGTAGTACTAGTAGTAGTAGTAGTAGTACTAGTAGTAGTAGTAGTAGTACTAGTAGTAGTAGTTGTAGTAGTACTAGTAGTATTAGTAGTATTATTAGTAATAGTAGTAGTAGTAGTAGTACTAGTAGTAGTAGTACTAGTAATAGTAGTAATACTAGTACTAGTAGTAGTAGTACTTGTAGTAGTAGTAGTACTACTAGTAGTACTAATAGTAGTAGTATTGGTGGTAGTAGTAGTAGTACTAGTGGTTGTAGTACTAGTGGTAGTAGTACTAGTAGTAGTAGTAGTACTAGTGGTATTAGTAGTACTATTAGTAATAGTAGTAGTATTAGTACTAGTAGTACTAGTACTAGTAGTAGTAGTACTAGTAGTAGTTGTAGTGGTAGTAGTAGTACTAGTATTAATTGTAGTACTAGAAGTTGTAGTAGTATTACTAATAGTAGTAGTAGTAGTAGTACTAGTGGTAGTAGTAGTACTAGTAGAAAAGTAGTAGTAGTAATACTAGTAGTACTAGTACTAGTAGTAGTAGTAGTACTAGTAGTAGTGGTAGTAGTAATAGTACTAGTATTAGTAATAGTAGCACTAGTAGTAGTAGTAGTACTAGTAGTAGCAATAGTAGTAGTAGTATCAGTGATAGTAGTAGTAGTACTGGTAGTAGTACTGGTAGTAGTAGTAGTAGTATTAGTACTAGTATTAGTAGTAGTACTAGTGGAAGTAGTACTAGTAGTAGTAGTACTAATAGTCGTAGTAGTACTAGTAGTAGTAGTAGGAGGAGTACTAGTAGTAGTAGTATTATTAGTAGTACTATTAGTACTATTATTAGGAGTACTAGTAGTAATAGTGTTAGTAATACTAGTAATAATATTAGTACTATTAGTAGTAGTATTATTATTGGTAGGAATATTAGTAGTAGTAATAGGAGTAGTAGTAGTACTAGTAGTAGTACTAGTAGTAGTATTAGTAGTAGTATTAGTAGTAATAGTAGTACTAGTAGTAGTAGTAGAAGTAGCAGTAGTAGTAGTACTTTTATTAGTAGTAGTATACTAGTAGTAGTACTAGTAGTAGTATTAGTAGTAGTACTAGTAGTAGTAGTACTAGTAGTAGTAGTACTAGTAGTAGTATTATTACTAGTAGTATTAATACTAGTAGTAGTAGTAGTATTACGAGTAGTACTAGTAGTTGTACTAGTAGTAGTAGTCGTGTTATTAGTACTGGTAGTAGTAGTAATAGTACTCATAGTACTAGTAGTAGTACTAGTAGTAGTAGTAGTAGCACTGGAAGTAGTAGTAGTAGTACTAGTAGTAGTAGTAGTACTAGTAGTAGTAGTACTAGTATTAGTAGTACTAGTAGTAGTAGTATTAGTAGTACTAGTACTAGTTGTAATAGTATTAGTCGTACAAGTATTAGTACCAGTAGTAGTAGTATTACTAGTAATAGTACTAATAGTTGTAATACTAGTAGTAGTAGTAGTAGTACTAGTAGTAGTAGTAGTAGTAGTAGTACTAGTAGTAGTACTAGTAGTAGTAGTGGTAGTAGTAGTAGTACTAGTAGTAGTAGTAGTGGTAGTAGTAGTGGTACTAGTAGTATTAGTAGTAGTACTACTAGTAGTATTAGTACGAGTAGTAGTAGTAGTACAAAGAGTATTAGTAGTAGTTCAAGTAGTAGTAATAGTATTATTAATGTTAATAGTAGCACTGGTAGTACTGGTAATAGTACTAGTAGTAGTCGTAGTAACAGTAGTGGTACTAGTAGTAGTAGTAGTACTAGTAGTATTAGTAATACTAGTAGTAGAGTAGTAGTATTAGTAGTAGTAGTTCTAGTATTAGTAATAGTACTATTAGTAGTAGTAGTATTAGTAGTAGCAGTATTATTAATACTAGTAGTAGTAGTATTAGTAGTAGTAATATTAATTATAATAATATTAGTACTAGTAATAGTAGTAGTAGTAATAGTATTAGTTGTAGTACTAGTAGTAGTAGTACTAGTAGTAGTAGTACTAGTAGTATGTGGCACTAGTAGTATTAGTATTAGTACTACTAGTAGTAATAGTAGTAATATTAATAGTACTAGTAGTAGTACTAGTAGTAGTACTAGTGGTAGTACTAGTAGTACTAGTAGTAGTAGTAGTACTAGTAGTAGTACTGGTAGTAGTAGTAGTAGTATTAGTACTCGTATTAGTAGTAGTACTAGTGGAAGTAGTACTAGTAGTAGTAGTACTAATAGTCGTAGTAGTATTAGTAGTAGTACTAGTAGTAGTAGTGAGGAGTACTAGTAGTATTAGTAGTATTATTAGTAGTACTATTAGTACTATTATTAGGAGTACTAGTAGTAGTAGTAGTTTAGTAATACTAGTAATAATATTAGTAGTATTATAGTAGTATTAGTATTGGTAGAATAGTAGTAGTAGTGATAGTAGTAGTAGTAGTACTAGTAGTAGTACTAGTAGTAGTATTAGTAGTACTAGTAGTAGCAGTAGTAGTAGTAGTATCAGTACTAGTAGTATTAGTAGTAGTACTAGTAGTAGTACTGGTAGTAGTAGTAATATTAGTAGTAGTATTATTAGTAGTAGTTGTAGTAGTAGTAGTTGTACTAGTATTAGTAGTAGTACTAGAAGTAGTAGTAGTATTACTGTAGTAGTAGTAGTAGTACTAGTAGTAGTAGTAGTACTAGTGGTATTAGTAGTACTATTAGTAATAGTAGTAGTATTAGTACTAGTAGTACTAGTACTAGTAGTAGTAGTAGTACTAGTAGTAGTTGTAGTAGTAGTAGTAGTACTAGTATTAATTGTAGTACTAGAAGTAGTAGTAGTATTACTAATAGTAGTAGTAGTAGTAGTACTAGTGGTAGTAGTAGTACTAGTAGAAAAGTAGTAGTAATACTAGTAGTACTAGTACTAGTAGTAGTAGTACTAGTAGTAGTAGTAGTGGTAGTAGTAATAGTACTAGTATTAGTAGTAGTAGCACTAGTAGTAGTAGTAGTACTAGTAGTAGCAATAGTAGTAGTAGTATCAGTGCTAGTAGTAGTAGTACTAGTAGTAGTACTGGTAGTAGTAGTAGTAGTATTAGTACTAGTATTAGTAGTAGTACTAGTGGAAGTAGTACTAGTAGTAGTAGTACTAATAGTCGTAGTAGTATTAGTAGTAGTACTAGTAGTAGTAGTAGGAGGAGTACTAGTAGTAGTAGTAGTATTATTAGTAGTACTATTAGTACTATTATTAGGAGTACTAGTAGTAGTGTTAGTAATACTAGTAATAATATTAGTACTATTAGTAGTAGTATTAGTATTGGTAGGAATAGTAGTAGTAGTAATAGGAGTAGTAGTAGTACTAGTAGTAGTACTAGTAGTAGTATTAGTAGTAGTACTAGTAGTAATAGTAGTACTAGTAGTAGTAGTAGAAGTAGCAGTAGTAGTAGTAGTACTTTTATTAGTAGTAGTATACTAGTAGTAGTACTAGTAGTAGTATTAGTAGTAGTATTAGTAGTAGTACTAGTAGTAGTAGTACTGGTAGTAGTAGTATTACTAGTAGTATTACTACTAGTAGTAGTATAGTATTACTAGTAGTACTAGTAGTTGTACTAGTAGTAGTAGTCGTGTTATTAGTACTGGTAGTAGTAGTAGTAGTACTCATAGTACTAGTAGTAGTACTAGTAGTAGTAGTAGTACTAGTAGTAGTACTAGTAGTAGTAGTAGTAGTAGTACTAGTAGTAGTAGTAGTACTAGTAGTAGTAGTAGTAGTAGTAGTAGTAGTAGTAGTATATATTAGTAGTAGTATACTAGTAGTAGTACTAGTAGTAGTAGTAGTAGTAGTACTAGTAGTAGTTGTAGTAGTAGTAGTAGTACTAGTATTAATTGTAGTACTAGAAGTTGTAGTAGTATTACTAATAGTAGTAGTAGTAGTACTAGTGGTAGTAGTAGTACTAGTAGAAAAGTAGTAGTAGTAATACTAGTAGTACTAGTACTAGTAGTAGTAGTAGTAGTAATAGTACTAGTATTAGTAGTAGTAGCACTAGTAGTAGTAGTAGTACTAGTAGTAGCAATAGTAGTAGTAGTATCAGTGATAGTAGTAGTAGTAGTACTAGTAGTAGTACTGGTAGTAGTAGTAGTAGTATTAGTACTAGTATTAGTAGTAGTACTAGTGGAAGTAGTACTAGTAGTAGTAGTACTAATAGTCGTAGTAGTATTAGTAGTAGTACTAGTAGTAGTAGTAGGAGGAGTACTAGTAGTAGTAGTATTATTAGTAGTACTATTAGTACTATTATTAGGAGTACTAGTAGTAGTAGTAGTGTTAGTAATACTAGTAATAATATTAGTACTATTAGTAGTAGTATTAGTATTGGTAGGAATAGTAGTAGTAATAGGAGTAGTAGTAGTACTAGTAGTAGTACTAGTAGTACTAGTAGTAATAGTAGTACTAGTAGTAGTAGTAGAAGTAGCAGTAGTAGTAGTAGTACTTTTATTAGTAGTAGTATACTAGTAGTAGTACTAGTAGTAGTATTAGTAGTAGTACTAGTAGTAGTAGTACTAGTAGTAGTAGTACTAGTAGTAGTATTACTAGTAGTATTACTACTAGTAGTAGTAGTAGTATTACTAGTAGTACTAGTAGTTGTACTAGTAGTAGTAGTCGTGTTATTAGTACTGGTAGTAGTAGTAATAGTACTCATAGTACTAGTAGTAGTACTAGTAGTAGTAGTAGTAGTACTAGTAGTAGTAGTAGTAGTAGTAGTAGTACTAGTAGTAGTAGTACTAGTATTAGTAGTACTAGTAGTAGTAGTATTAGTAGTACTAGTACTAGTAGTAATAGTATTAGTAGTACTAGTATTAGTACTAGTAGTAGTAGTATTACTAGTAGTAGTACTAGTAGTAGTAGTATTAGTAGTAGTAGTACTAGTAGTAGTAGTAGTATTAGTAGTACTAGTAGTAGTACTAGTAGTAGTAGTACTAGTATTAGTATTACTAGTAGTAGTAGTACTAGTAGTAGTAGTAGTAGTAGTAGTAGTACTAGTAGTAGTAGTAGTAGTATTAGTAGTAGTAGTACTAGTAGTATTAGTAGTAGTACTACTAGTAGTATTAGTACGTAGTAGTAGTAGTACAAGAGTATTAGTAGTAGTACAAGTAGTAGTAATAGTACTATTAATGTTAATAGTAGCACTGGTAGTACTAGTAATAGTACTAGTAGTAGTAGTAGTAATAGTAGTAGTACTAGTATTAGTAGTAGTACTAGTAGTATTAGTAATACTAGTAGTAGAGTAGTAGTATTAGTAGTAGTAGTATGTATTAGTAATAGTACTATTAGTAGTAGTAGTATTAGTAGTAGTAGTATTAGTAATACTAGTAGTAGTAGTAGTATTAGTAGTAGTAATATTAATTATAGTAATATTAGTACTAGTAATAGTAGTAGTAGTAATAGTATTAGTAGTAGTACTAGTAGTAGTAGTAGTACTAGTAGTAGTAGTACTAGTAGTAGTAGTAGTACTAGTAGTATTAGTATTAGTACTAGTAGTAGTAATAGTAGTAGTATTAATAGTACTAGTAGTAGTACTAGTAGTAGTACTAGTGGTAGTACTAGTAGTACTAGTAGTAGTAGTAGTACTAGTAGTAGTACTGGTAGTAGTAGTAGTAGTATTAGTACTAGTAGTAGTAGTAGTACTAGTGGAAGTAGTACTAGTAGTAGTAGTACTAATAGTCGTAGTAGTATTAGTAGTAGTACTAGTAGTAGTAGTAGGAGGAGTACTAGTAGTAGTAGTAGTATTATTAGTAGTACTATTAGTACTATTATTAGGAGTACTAGTAGTAGTATTAGTGTTAGTAATACTAGTAATAATATTAGTACTATTAGTAGTAGTATTAGTATTGGTAGGAATAGTAGTAGTAGTAATAGGAGTAGTAGTAGTAGTAGTAGTACTAGTAGTAGTATTAGTAGTAGTACTAGTAGTAATAGTAGTACTAGTAGTAGTAGTAGAAGTAGCAGTAGTAGTAGTAGTACTTTTATTAGTAGTAGTATACTAGTAGTAGTACTAGTAGTAGTATTAGTAGTAGTACTAGTAGTAGTAGTACTAGTAGTAGTAGTACTAGTAGTAGTATTACTAGTAGTATTACTAGTAGTAGTAGTATTACTAGTAGTACTAGTAGTTGTACTAGTAGTAGTAGTCGTGTTATTAGTACTAGTAGTAGTAGTAGTAGTACTCATAGTACTAGTAGTAGTACTAGTAGTAGTAGTAGTAGTACTAGTAGTAGTAGTAGTAGTAGTACTAGTAGTAGTAGTAGTATTATTAGTACTAGTAGTAGTAGTACTAGTAGTAGTAGTAGTACTAGTAGTAGTAGTACTAGTAGTAGTAGTAATACTAGTACTAGTAGTAGTAGTAGTACTTGTAGTAGTAGTAGTACTACTAGTAGTACTAGTAGTAGTAGTATTGGTGGTAGTAGTAGTAGTACTAGTAGTAGTAGTACTAGTAGTAGTAGTAGTAGTACTAGTAGTAGCAGTAGTAGTAGTATCAGTACTAGTAGTATTAGTAGTAGTACTAGTAGTAGTACTGGTAGTAGTAGTAGTAATATTAGTAGTAGTATTATTAGTAGTAGTTGTAGTAGTAGTAGTTGTACTAGTATTAGTAGTAGTACTAGAAGTAGTAGTAGTATTACTAGTAGTAGTAGTAGTACTAGTAGTAGTAATAGTACTAGTGGTATTAGTAGTACTAGTAGTAATAGTAGTAGTATTAGTACTAGTAGTACTAGTACTAGTAGTAGTAGTAGTACTAGTAGTAGTTGTAGTAGTAGTAGTAGTACTAGTATTAATTGTAGTACTAGAAGTAGTAGTAGTATTACTAATAGTAGTTGTAGTAGTAGTACTAGTGGTAGTAGTAGTACTAGTAGAAAAGTAGTAGTAGTAATACTAGTAGTACTAGTACTAGTAGTAGTAGTAGTACTAGTAGTAGTAGTACTAGTAGTAGCAATATTAGTAGTAGTATCAGTGCTAGTAGTAGTAGTAGTACTAGTAGTAGTACTGGTAGTAGTAGTAGTAGTATTAGTACTAGTAGTAGTAGTAGTACTAGTGGAAGTAGTACTAGTAGTAGTAGTACTAATAGTCGTAGTAGTATTAGTAGTAGTACTAGTAGTAGTAGTAGGAGGAGTACTAGTAGTAGTAGTATTATTAGTAGTACTATTAGTACTATTATTAGGAGTACTAGTAGTAGTAGTAGTGTTAGTAATACTAGTAATAATATTAGTACTATTAGTAGTAGTATTAGTATTGGTAGGAATAGTAGTAGTAATAGGAGTAGTAGTAGTACTAGTAGTAGTACTAGTAGTAATAGTAGTACTAGTAGTAGTAGTAGAAGTAGCAGTAGTAGTAGTACTTTTATTAGTAGTAGTATACTAGTAGTAGTACTAGTAGTAGTATTAGTAGTAGTACTAGTAGTAGTAGTACTGGTAGTAGTAGTATTACTAGTAGTATTACTACTAGTAGTAGTAGTATTTCTAGTAGTACTAGTAGTTGTACTAGTAGTCGTAGTCGTGTTATTAGTACTGGTAGTAGTAGTAGTACTCATAGTACTAGTAGTAGTACTAGTAGTAGTAGTAGTAGTACTAGTAGTAGTAGTAGTAGTAGTTGTAGTAGTACTAGTAGTATTAGTAGTATTATTAGTAATAGTAGTAGTAGTAGTACTAGTAGTAGTAGTACTAGTAATAGTAGTACTACTAGTACTAGTAGTAGTAGTACTTGTAGTAGTAGTAGTACTACTAGTAGTACTAATAGTAGTAGTATTGGTGGTAGTAGTAGTAGTACTAGTGGTTGTAGTACTAGTGGTAGTAGTACTAGTAGTAGTAGTACTAGTGGTATTAGTAGTACTATTAGTACTAGTGGTAGTAGTAGTACTAGTAGAAAAGTAGTAGTAGTAATACTAGTAGTACTAGTACTAGTAGTAGTAGTAGTACTAGTAGTAGTGGTAGTAGTAATAGTACTAGTATTAGTAATAGTAGCACTAGTAGTAGTAGTACTAGTAGTAGCAATAGTAGTAGTAGTATCAGTGATAGTAGTAGTAGTACTGGTAGTAGTACTGGTAGTAGTAGTAGTAGTATTAGTACTAGTATTAGTAGTAGTACTAGTGGAAGTAGTACTAGTAGTAGTAGTACTAATAGTCGTAGTAGTATTAGTAGTAGTACTAGTAGTAGTAGTAGGAGGAGTACTAGTAGTAGTAGTGTATTATTAGTAGTATTATTAGTACTATTATTAGGAGTACTAGTAGTAGTAGTAGTGTTAGTAATACTAGTAATAATATTAGTACTATTAGTAGTAGTATTATTATTGGTAGGAATATTAGTAGTAGTAATAGGAGTAGTAGTAGTACTAGTAGTAGTACTAGTAGTAGTATTAGTAGTAGTATTAGTAGTAATAGTAGTACTAGTAGTAGTATTAGAAGTAGCAGTAGTAGTAGTACTTTTATTAGTAGTAGTATACTAGTAGTAGTACTAGTAGTAGTATTAGTAGTAGTACTAGTATTAGTAGTACTAATAGTAGTAGTACTAGTAGTAGTAGTATTACTAGTAGTATTAATACTAGTAGTAGTAGTATTACTAGTAGTACTAGTAGTTGTACTAGTAGTAGTAGTCGTGTTATTAGTACTGGTAGTAGTAGTAATAGTACTCATAGTACTAGTAGTAGTACTAGTAGTAGTAGTAGCACTGGAAGTAGTAGTAGTAGTACTAGTAGTAGTAGTAGTAGTAGTACTAGTAGTAGTAGTACTAGTATTAGTAGTACTAGTAGTAGTAGTATTAGTAGTACTAGTACTAGTAGTAATAGTATTAGTAGTACTAGTATTAGTACTAGTAGTAGTAGTACTAGTAGTAGTATTACTAGTAGTAGTAGTACTAGTAGTAGTAGTAGTAGTAGTAGTAGTGGTAGTAGTAGTGGTACTAGTAGTATTAGTAGTAGTACTACTAGTAGTATTAGTACGAGTAGTAGTAGTAGTACAAAGAGTATTAGTAGTAGTTCAAGTAGTAGTAATAGTATTATTAATGTTAATAGTAGCACTGGTAGTACTGGTAATAGTACTAGTAGTAGTCGTAGTAACAGTAGTGGTACTAGTAGTAGTAGTAGTACTAGTAGTATTAGTAATACTAGTAGTAGAGTAGTAGTATTAGTAGTAGTAGTACTAGTATTAGTAATAGTACTATTAGTAGTAGTAGTATTAGTAGTAGCAGTATTATTAATACTAGTAGTAGTAGTAGTATTAGTAGTAGTAATATTAATTATAATAATATTAGTACTAGTAATAGTAGTAGTAGTAATAGTATTAGTTGTAGTAGTAGTAGTATTAGTAGTACTAGTAGTAGTAGTACTAGTAGTAGTAGTGGCACTAGTAGTATTAGTATTAGTACTACTAGTAGTAATAGTAGTAATATTAATAGTACTAGTAGTAGTACTAGTAGTAGTACTAGTGGTAGTACTAGTAGTACTAGTAGTAGTAGTAGTACTAGTAGTAGTACTGGTAGTAGTAGTAGTAGTATTAGTAGTAGTAGTAGTAGTAGTACTAGTGGAAGTAGTACTAGTAGTAGTAGTACTAATAGTCGTAGTAGTATTAGTAGTAGTACTAGTAGTAGTAGTAGGAGGAGTACTAGTGGTAGTAGTAGTATTATTAGTAGTACTATTAGTACTATTATTAGGAGTACTAGTAGTAGTAGTGTTAGTAATACTAGTAATAATATTAGTACTATTAATAGTAGTATTAGTATTGGTAGGAATAGTAGTAGTAGTGATAGGAGTAGTAGTAGTAGTACTAGTAGTAGTACTAGTAGTAGTATTAGTAGTACTAGTAGTAGCAGTAGTAGTAGTAGTATCAGTACTAGTAGTATTAGTAGTAGTACTAGTAGTAGTACTGGTAGTAGTAGTAATATTAGTAGTAGTATTATTAGTAGTAGTTGTAGTAGTAGTAGTTGTACTAGTATTAGTAGTAGTACTAGAAGTAGTAGTAGTATTACTAGTAGTAGTAGTAGTAGTACTAGTAATAGTAGTATTACTAGTGGTATTAGTAGTATTATTAGTAATAGTAGTAGTAATAGTACTATTAGTACTAGTACTAGTAGTAGTAGTAGTACTAGTAGTAGTTGTAGTAGTAGTAGTAGTACTAGTATTAATTGTAGTACTAGAAGTAGTAGTAGTATTACTAATAGTAGTAGTAGTAGTAGTACTAGTGGTAGTAGTAGTACTAGTAGAAAATTAGTAGTAGTAATACTAGTAGTACTAGTACTAGTAGTAGTAGTAGTACTAATAGTAGTAGTAGTAGTAGTAATATTAGTAGTAGTATTAGTAGTAGTATAGTAGTAGTAGTAGTACTAGTAGTAGTAATAGTAGTAGTAGTATTAGTACTAGTAGTAGTAGTACTAGTAGTAGTAGTAGTAGTAGTAGTAGTACTAGTATTAATTGTAGTACTAGAAGTAGTAGTAGTATTACTAATAGTATTAGTAGTAGTAGTACTAGTGGTAGTAGTAGTACTAGTAGAAAATTAGTAGTAGTAATACTAGTAGTACTAGTACTAGTAGTAGTAGTAGTACTAGTAGTAGTAGTAGTAGTAGTAATATTACTAGTATTATTAGTAGTAGCATAGTAGTAGTAGTAGTACTAGTAGTAGCAATAGTAGTAATAGTATCAGTGCTAGTAGTAGTAGTACTAGTAGTAGTACTGGTAGTAGTAGTAATAGTATTAGTACTAGTATTAGTAGTAGTACTAGTGGAAGAAGTACTAGTAGTAGTAGTACTAATAGTAGTAGTAGTATTAGTATTAGTACTAGTAGTATTAGTAATACTAGTAGTAGTAGTAGTATTAGTAGTAGTAGTACTAGTATTAGTAATAGTACTATTAGTAGTAGTAGTATTAGTAGTAGTAATATTATTAATACTAGTAGTAGTAGTAGTATTAGTAGTAGTAATATTAATTATAGTAATATTAGTACTAGTAATAATAGTAGTAGTAATAGTATTAGTTGTAGTACTAGTAGTATTAGTAGTACTAGTAGTAGTAGTACTAGTAATAGTAGTGGCACTAGTAGTATTAGTATTAGTACTAATAGTAGTAATAGTAGTAATATTAATAGTACTAGTAGTAGTACTAGTAGTAGTACTAGTAGTAGTACTAGTAGTACTAGTAGTAGTAGTAGTACTAGTAGTAGTACTGGTAGTAGTAGTAGTAGTATTAGTACTCGTAGTAGTAGTAGTACTAGTGGAAGTAGTACTAGTAGTAGTAGTACTAATAGTCGTAGTAGTATTAGTAGTAGTACTAGTAGTAGTAGTAGGAGGAGTACTAGTAGTAGTAGTAATATTATTAGTAGTACTATTAGTACTATTATTAGGAGTACTAGTAGTAGTATTAGTGTTAGTAATACTAGTAATAATATTAGTACTATTAATAGTAGTATTAGTATTGGTAGGAATAGTAGTAGTAGTAATAGGAGTAGTAGTAGTAGTAGTACTAGTAGTAGTATTAGTAGTAGTAGTAGTAGTAATACTAGTAGTAGTAGTACTAGTAGTAGTAATATTACTAGTAGTATTACTAGTAGTAGTAGTAGTATTACTAGTAGTACTAGTAGTTGTACTAGTAGTAGAAGTCGTGTTATTAGTACTGGTAGTAGTAGTAGTAGTACTCATAGTACTAGTAGTATTACTAGTAGTAGTAGTAGTAGTACTAGTAGTAGTAGTAGTAGTAGTACTAGTAGTAGTAGTACTATTATTAGTACTAGTAGTAGTAGTACTAGTAGTAGTAGTAGTACTAGTAGTAGTAGTACTAGTAGTAGTAGTAATACTAGTACTAGTAGTAGTAGTAGTACTTGTAGTAGTAGTAGTACTACTAGTAGTACTAGTAGTAGTAGTATTGGTGGTAGTAGTAGTAGTACTAGTAGTAGTAGTACTAGTAGTAGTAGTAGTAGTACTAGTAGTAGCAGTAGTAGTAGTATCAGTACTAGTAGTATTAGTAGTAGTACTAGTAGTAGTACTGGTAGTAGTAGTAGTAATATTAGTAGTAGTATTATTAGTAGTAGTTGTAGTAGTACTAGTTGTACTAGTATTAGTAGTAGTACTAGAAATAGAAGTAGTATTACTAGTAGTAGTAGTTGTACTAGTAGTAGTAGTAGTACTAGTGGTATTAGTAGTACTAGTAGTAATAGTAGTAGTATTAGTACTAGTAGTACTAGTACTAGTAGTAGTAGTACTAGTAGTAGTTGTAGTAGTAGTAGTAGTACTAGTATTAATTGTAGTACTAGAAGTAGTAGTAGTATTACTAATAGTAGTTGTAGTAGTAGTACTAGTGGTAGTAGTAGTACTAGTAGAAAAGTAGTAGTAGTAATACTAGTAGTACTAGTACTAGTAGTAGTAGTAGTACTAGTAGTAGTAGTACTAGTAGTAGCAATATTAGTAGTAGTATCAGTGCTAGTAGTAGTAGTACTAGTAGTAGTACTGGTAGTAGTAGTAGTAGTATTAGTACTAGTAGTAGTAGTAGTACTAGTGGAAGTAGTACTAGTAGTAGTAGTACTAATAGTCGTAGTAGTATTAGTAGTAGTACTAGTAGTAGTAGTAGTACTAGTAGTAGAGTAGTAGTATTAGTAGTAGTAGTACTAGTATTAGTAGTAGTACTATTAGTAGTAGTAGTATTAGTAGTAGTAATATTATTAATACTAGTAGTAGTAGTAGTATTAGTAGTAGTAATATTAATTATAATAATATTAGTACTAGTAATAGTAGTAGTAGTAATAGTATTAGTAGTAGTACTAGTAGTATTAGTAGTACTAGTAGTAGTAGTACTAGTAATATTAGTAGCACTAGTAGTATTAGTATTAGTACTAGTAGTAGTAATAGTAGTAATATTAATAGTACTAGTAGTAGTACTAGTAGTAGTACTAGTGGTAGTACTAGTAGTACTAGTAGTAGTAGTAGTACTAGTAGTAGTACTGGTAGTAGTAGTAGTATTAGTACTAGTAGTAGTAGTAGTACTAGTGGAAGTACTACTAGTAGTAGTAGTACTAATAGTCGTAGTAGTATTAGTAGTAGTACTAGTAGTAGTAGTTGGAGGAGTACTAGTAGTAGTAGTAATATTATTAGTAGTACTATTAGTACTATTATTAGGAGTACTAGTAGTAGTATTAGTGTTAGTAATACTAGTAATAATATTAGTACTATTAATAGTAGTATTAGTATTGGTAGGAATAGTAGTAGTAGTAATAGTAGTAGTAGTAGTAGTAGTACTAGTAGTAGTATTAGTAGTAGTAGTACTAGTAGTAGTAGTACTACTAGTAGTAATATTACTAGTAGTATTACTAGTAGTAGTAGTATTACTAGTAGTACTAGTAGTAGTACTAGTAGTAGTAGTCGTGTTATTAGTACTGGTAGTAGTAGTAGTAGTACTCATAGTACTAGTAGTATTACTAGTAGTAGTAGTAGTAGTACTAGTAGTAGTAGTTGTAGTAGTACTAGTAGTAGTAGTACTATTATTAGTACTAGTAGTATTAGTACTAGTAGTAGTAGTAGTACTAGTAGTAGTAGTACTAGTAGTAGTAGTAATACTAGTACTAGTAGTAGTAGTAGTACTTGTAGTAGTAGTAGTACTACTAGTAGTACTAGTAGTAGTAGTATTGGTGGTAGTAGTAGTAGTACTAGTAGTAGTAGTACTACTAGTAGTAGTAGTAGTACTAGTAGTAGCAGTAGTAGTAGTATCAGTACTAGTAGTATTAGTAGTAGTACTAGTAGTAGTACTGGTAGTAGTAGTAGTAATATTAGTAGTAGTATTATTAGTAGTAGTTGTAGTAGTAGTAGTTGTACTAGTATTAGTAGTAGTACTAGAAGTAGTAGTAGTATTACTAGTAGTATAGTAGTACTAGTAGTAGTAGTAGTACTAGTGGTATTAGTAGTACTAGTAGTAATAGTAGTAGTATTAGTACTAGTAGTACTAGTACTAGTAGTAGTAGTACTAGTAGTAGTTGTAGTAGTAGTAGTAGTACTAGTATTAATTGTAGTACTAGAAGTAGTAGTAGTATTACTAATAGTAGTTGTAGTAGTAGTACTAGTGGTAGTAGTAGTACTAGTAGAAAAGTAGTAGTAGTAATACTAGTAGTACTAGTACTAGTAGTAGTAGTAGTACTAGTAGTAGTAGTACTAGTAGTAGCAATATTAGTAGTAGTATCAGTGCTAGTAGTAGTAGTACTAGTAGTAGTACTGGTAGTAGTAGTAGTAGTATTAGTACTAGTAGTAGTAGTAGTACTAGTGGAAGTAGTACTAGTAGTAGTAGTACTAATAGTCGTAGTAGTATTAGTAGTAGTACTAGTAGTAGTAGTAGGAGGAGTACTAGTAGTAGTAGTATTATTAGTAGTACTATTAGTACTATTATTAGGAGTACTAGTAGTAGTAGTAGTGTTAGTAATACTAGTAATAATATTAGTACTATTAGTAGTAGTATTAGTATTGGTAGGAATAGTAGTAGTAATAGGAGTAGTAGTAGTATTAGTAGTAGTATTAGTAGTAGTACTAGTAGTAATAGTACTACTAGTAGTAGTAGTAGAAGTAGAAGTATTAGTAGTAGTATTTTATTAGTAGTAGTATACTAGTAGTAGTACTAGTAGTAGTATTAGTAGTAGTACTAGTATTAGTAGTAGTAGTACTAGTAATAGTAGTAGTACTAGTGGTATTAGTAGTACTATTAGTAATAGTAGTAGTAATAGTACTATTAGTACTAGTACTAGTAGTAGTAGTACTAGTAGTAGTTGTAGTAGTAGTAGTAGTACTAGTATTAATTGTAGTACTAGAAGTAGTAGTAGTACTAGTGGTATTAGTAGTACTAGTAGAAAAGTAGTACTAGTAATACTAGTAGTACTAGTACTAGTAGTAGTAGTACTAATAGTAGTAGTAGTAGTAGTAGTAATATTACTAGTATTATTAGTAGTAGCACTAGTAGTATTAGTAGTACTAGTAGTAGCAATAGTAGTAATAGTATCAGTGCTAGTAGTAGTAGTACTAGTAGTAGTACTGGTAGTAGTAGTAATAGTATTAGTACTAGTATTAGTAGTAGTACTAGTAGTAGTAGTAGGAGGAGTACTAGTAGTAGTAGTAGTATTATTAGTAGTACTATTAGTACTATTATTAGGAGTACTAGTAGTAGTATTAGTGTTAGTAATACTAGTAATAATATTAGTACTATTAATAGTAGTATTAGTATAGATAGGAATAGTAGTAGTATTAATAGGAGTAGTAGTAGTACTAGTAGTAGTACTAGTAGTAGTATTAGTAGTAGTACTAGTAGTAATAGTAGTACTAGTAGTAGTAGTAGAAGTAGTAGTAGTATTAGTAGTACTTTTATTAGTAGTAGTATACTAGTAGTAGTACTAGTAGTAGTAGTAGTACTAGTAGTAGTAGTAGTACTAGTGGTATTAGTAGTACTATTAGTAATAGTAGTATTAATAGTACTAGTAGTACTAGTACTAGTAGTAGTAGTAGTACTAGTAGTAGTTGTAGTAGTAGTAGTAGTACTAGTATTAATTGTAGTACTAGAAGTAGTAGTAGTTCTAGTGGTATTAGTAGTACTAGTAGAAAAGTAGTAGTAGTAATACTAGTAGTACTAGTACTAGTAGTAGTAGTAGTACTAATAGTAGTAGTAGTGGTAGTAGTAATATTACTATTATTATTAGTAGTAGCACTAGTAATAGTAGTAGTACTAGTAGTAGCAATAGTAGTAATAGTATCAGTGCTAGTAGTAGTAGTACTAGTAGTAGTACTGGTAGTAGTAGTAATAGTATTAGTACTAGTATTAGTAGTAGTACTAGTGGAAGAAGTTCTAGTAGTAGTAGTACTAATAGTCGTAGTAGTATTAGTAGTAGTACTAGTAGTAGTAGTAGGAGTAGTACTAGTAGTAGTAGTATTATTAGTAGTACTATTAATACTATTATTAGGAGTACTAGTAGTAGTATAAGTGTTAGTAATACTAGTAATAATATTAGTACTATTTATAGTAGTATTAGTATAGATAGGAATAGTAGTAGTATTAATAGGAGTAGTAGTAGTACTAGTAGTAGTACTAGTAGTAGTATTAGTAGTTGTACTAGTAGTAATAGTAGTACTAGTAGTAGTAGTAGAAGTAGAAGTAGTAGTAGAAGTACTTTTATTAGTAGTAGTATACTAGTAGTAGTACTAGTAGTAGTATTAGTAGTAGTACTAGTAGTAGTAGTAGTAGTACTAGTAATAGTAGTAGTACTAGTGGTATTATTAGTACTATTAGTAATAGTAGTATTAATAGTACTATTAGTACTAGTACTAGTAGTAGTAGTAGTACTAGTAGTAGTATTACTAGTAGTACTAGTACTAGTAGTAGTAGTAGTACTAATAGTAGTAGTAGTGGTAGTAGTAATATTACTATTATTATTAGTAGTAGCACTAGTAATAGTAGTAGTACTAGTAGTAGCAATAGTAGTAATAGTATCAGTGCTAGTAGTAGTAGTACTAGTAGTAGTACTGGTAGTAGTAGTAATAGTATTAGTACTAGTATTAGTAGTAGTACTAGTGGAAGAAGTTCTAGTAGTAGTAGTACTAATAGTCGTAGTAGTATTAGTAGTAGTACTAGTAGTAGTAGTAGGAGTAGTACTAGTAGTAGTAGTATTATTAGTAGTACTATTAATACTATTATTAGGAGTACTAGTAGCAGTAGTGTTAGTAATACTAGTAATAATATTAGTACTATTAGTAGTAGTATTAGTATTGGTAGGAAAAGTAGTAGTAGTAATATGAGTAGTAGTAGTACTAGTAGTAGTATTAGTAGTAGTATTAGTAGTAGTACTAGTAGTAGTAGTAGTAGTACTAGTAGTAGTAGTAGAAATAGCAGTAGAAGTAGTAGTACTTTTATTAGTAGTAGTATACTAGTAGTAGTACTAGTAGTAGTATTAGTAGTAGTACTAGTAGTAGTAGTACTGGTAGTAGTAGTATTACTAGTATTATTACTACTATTAGTAGTAGTAGTATTACTAGTAGTACTAGTAGTTGTACTAGTAGTCGTAGTCGTGTTATTAGTACTGGTAGTAGTAGTAATAGTACTCATAGTACTAGTAGTAGTACTATTAGTAGTAGTAGTACTAGTAGTAGTAGTAGTAGTACTAGTAGTAGTAGTTGTATTAGTACTAGTAGTAGTAGTAGTATTATTAGTAATAGTAGTAGTAGTACTAGTAGTAGTAGTAGTACTAGTAGTAGTAGTAGTATTACTAGTAATAGTAGTAATACTAGTACTAGTAGTAGTAGTAGTATTGTAGTAGTAGTAGTACTACTAATAGTACTAGTAGTAGTAGTATTGGTGGTAGTAGTAGTAGTACTAGTGGTAGTAGTACTAGTATTAGTATTAGTACTAGTAGTATCAGTAGTAGTATTAGTACAAGTACTATTAGTAGTAGTACTAGTAGTAGTACTGGTAGTAGTAGTAGTAGTAGTATTAGTAGTAGTATTATTAGTAGTAGTTGTAGTATTAGTAGTTGTACTAGTATTAGTAGTAGTACTAGAAGTAGTAGTAGTATTACTAGTAGTAGTAGTAGTAGTACTAGTAATAGTAGTAGTACTAGTGGTATTAGTAGTACTATTAGTAATAGTAGTAGTAATAGTACTATTAGTACTAGTACTAGTAGTAGTAGTAGTACTAGTATTAGTTGTAGTAGTAGTAGTACTAGTATTAATTGTAGTACTAGAAGTAGTAGTAGTACTAGTGGTATTAGTAGTACTAGTAGAAAAGTAGTAGTAGTAATACTAGTAGTACTAGTACTAGTAGTAGTAGTAGTACTAGTAGTAGTAGTATTGGTGGTAGTAGTAGTAGTACTAGTAGTAGTAGTACTAGTAGTAGTAGTAGTACTAGTAGTATCAGTAGTAGTATCAGTACAAGTAGTATTAGTAGTAGTACTAGTAGTAGTACTGGTAGTAGTAGTAGTAGTAATATTAGTAGTAGTATTATTAGTAGTAGTTGTAGTATTAGTAGTTGTACTAGTATTAGTAGTAGTACTAGAAGTAGTAGTAGTATTACTAGTAGTAGTAGTAGTAGTACTAGTAATAGTAGTAGTACTAGTGGTATTAGTAGTACTATTAGTAATAGTAGTAGTAATAGTACTATTAGTACTAGTACTAGTAGTAGTAGTAGTACTAGTATTAGTTGTAGTAGTAGTAGTACTAGTATTAATAGTAGTACTAGAAGTAGTAGTAGTACTAGTGGTAGTAGTAGTACTAGTAGAAAAGTAGTAGTAGTAATACTAGTAGTACTAGTACTAGTAGTAGTAGTAGTACTAGTAGTAGCAATAGTAGTAATAGTATCAGTGCTAGTAGTAGTAGTACTAGTAGTAGTACTGGTAGTAGTAGTAATAGTATTAGTACTAGTATTAGTAGTAGTACTAGTGGAAGAAGTTCTAGTAGTAGTAGTACTAATAGTCGTAGTAGTATTAGTAGTAGTACTAGTAGTAGTAGTAGGAGGAGTACTAGTAGTAGTAGTATTATTAGTAGTACTATTAGTACTATTATTAGGAGTACTAGTAGTAGTAGTGTTAGTAATACTAGTAATAATATTAGTAGTATTAGTAGTAGTATTAGTATTGGTAGGAATAGTAGTAGTAGTAATAGGAGTAGTAGTAGTACTAGTAGTAGTACTAGTAGTAGTATTAGTAGTAGTACTAGTAGTAGTAGTACTAGTAGTAGTAGTAGAAGTAGCAGTAGTATTAGTAGTACTTTTATTAGTAGTAGTATACTAGTAGTAGTACTAGTAGTAGTATTAGTAGTAGTACTAGTAGTAGTAGTACTGGTAGTAGTAGTATTACTAGTATTATTACTACTAGTAGTAGTAGTAGTATTACTAGTAGTACTAGTATTTGTACTAGTAGTCGTAGTCGTGTTATTAGTACTGGTAGTAGTAGTAATAGTACTCATAGTACTAGTAGTAGTACTAGTAGTAGTAGTAGTACTAGTAGTAGTAGTAGTAGTACTAGTAGTAGTAGTTGTAGTAGTACTAGTAGTAGTAGTAGTATTATTAGTAATAGTAGTAGTAGTACTAGTAGTAGTAGTAGTACTAGTAGTAGTAGTACTAATAATAGTAGTAATACTAGTACTAGTAGTAGTAGTAGTATTTGTAGTAGTAGTAGTACTACTAATAGTACTAGTAGTAGTAGTATTGGTGGTAGTAGTAGTAGTACAATTGGTAGTAGTACTAGTATTATTATTAGTACTAGTAGTATCAGTATTAGTATCAGTAAAAGTACTATTAGTAGTAGTACTAGTAGAAGTACTGGTAGTAGTAGTATTAGTAATATTAGTAGTAGTATTATTAGAAGTAGTTGTAGTATTAGTAGTTGTACTAGTATTAGTAGTAGTACTAGAAGTAGTAGTAGTATTACTAGTAGTAGTAGTAGTACTAGTAATAGTAGTAGTACTAGTGGTATTAGTAGTACTATTAGTAATAGTAATAGTATTAGTACTATTAGTACTAGTACTAGTAGTAGTAGTAGTACTAGTATTAATTGTAGTACTAGAAGTAGTAGTAGTACTAGTGGTATTAGTAGTACTAGTAGATAAGTAGTAGTAGTAATACTAGTAGTACTAGTACTAGTAGTAGTAGTAGTACTAATAGTAGTAGTAGTGGTAGTAGTAATATTACTAGTATTATTAGTAGTAGCACTAGTAGTAGTAGTACTAGTAGTAGCAATAGTAGTAATAGTATCAGTGCTAGTAGTAGTAGTAGTACTAGTAGTAGTACTGTTAGTATTAGTAATAATATTAGTACTAGTATTAGTAGTAGTACTAGTGGAAGAAGTTCTAGTAGTAGTAGTACTAATTGTCGTAGTAGTATTAGTAGTAGTACTAGTAGTAGTAGTAGTATTATTAGTAGTATTATTAGTACTAATATTAGGAGTACTAGTAATAATAGTAGTGTTAGTAATTCTAGTAATAATATTAGTACAATTAGTAGTAGTATTAGTATTGGTAGGAATAGTAGTATTAGTAATAGGAGTAGTAGTAGTACTAGCAGTAGTACTAGTAGTAGTATTAGTAGTAGTACTAGTAGTAGTAGTACTAGTAGTAGTATTACTAGTAGTAGTAGTACTAGTAGTAGTAGTGGTAGTAGTAGTAGTATTAGTAGTAGTATTAGTAGTAGTACTAGTAGTAGTACTGGTAGTAGTAGTAGTAATATTAGTAGTAGTATTATTAGTAATAGTTGTAGTAGTAGTTGTACTAATAATAATAGTCGTACTAGAAGTAGTAGTAGTATTACTAGTACTAGTAGTAGTAGTTCTAGTAGTAGTTGTAGTAGTAGTAGTAGCACTAGAATTAATTGAAGTACTAGAAGTAGTAGTAGTATTACTAATAGTATTAGTAGTAGTAGTATTAGTGGTAGTAGTAGTACTAGTAGAAAAGTAGTAGTAGTAATACTAGTAGTACTAGTACTAGTAGTAGTAGTAGTACTAATAGTAGTAGTAGTTGTAGTAGTAATATTACTAGTATTAGTAGTAGTAGCACTAGTAGTAGTAGTAGTACTAGTAGTAGCAATAGTAGTAATAGTATCAGTGCTAGTAGTAGTAGTAGTACTAGTAGTAGTACTGGTAGTATTAGTAATAATATTAGTACTAGTATTAGTAGTAGTACTAGTGGAAGAAGTTCTAGTAGTATTAGTACTAATTGTCGTAGTAGTATTAGTAGTAGTACTAGTAGTAGTAGTATTATTAGTAGTATTATTAGTACTATTATTAGGAGTACTAGTAATAATAGTAGTGTTAGTAATTCTAGTAATAATATTAGTATTATTAGTAGTAGTATTAGTATTGGTAGGAATAGTAGTATTAGTAATAGGAGTAGTAGTAGTACTAGTAGTAGTACTAGTAGTAGTATTAGTAGTAGTACTAGTAGTAGTAGTACTAGTAGTAGTATTACTAGTAGTAGTAGTACTAGTAGTAGTAGTGGTAGTAGTAGTAGTACTAGTAGTAGTAGTAGTGGTAGTATTAGTGGTACTATTAGTATTATTAGTAGTACTACTAGTAGTATTAGTACGAGTAGTAGTAGTAGTACAAAGAGTATTAGTAGTAGTTCAAGTAGTAGTAATAGTATTATTAATGTTAATAGTAGCACTGGTAGTACTGGTAATAGTACTAGTAGTAGTCGTAGTAACAGTAGTGTTACTAGTAGTAGTAGTACTAGTAGTATTAGTAATACTAGTAGTAGAGTAGTAGTATTAGTAGTAGTAGTTCTCGTATTAGTAATAGTACTATTAGTAGTAGTAGTATTAGTAGTAGCAGTATTATTAATACTAGTAGTAGTAGTAGTATTAGTAGTAGTAATATTAATTATAATAATATTAGTACTAGTAATAATAGTAGCAGTAATAGTATTAGTTGTAGTACTAGTAGTATTAGTAGTACTAGTAGTAGTAGTACTAGTATTAGTAGTGGCACTAGTAGTATTAGTATTAGTACTACTAGTAGTAATAGTAGTAATATTAATAGTACTAGTAGTAGTAATAGTAGTAGTACTAGTGGTAGTACTAGTAGTACTAGTAGTAGTACTGGTAGTAGTAGTAGTATTAGTACTCGTAATAGTATTAGTACTAGTGGAAGTAGTACTAGTAGTATTAGTACTAATAGTCGTAGTAGTATTAGTAGTAGTACTAGTAGTAGTAGTAGGAGGAGTACTAGTAGTAGTAGTAGTATTATTAGTAGTACTATTAATACTATTATTAGGAGTACTATTAGTAGTAGTAGTGTTAGTAATACTAGTAATAATATTAGTACTATTACTAGTAGTATTATTATTGGTAGGAATATTAGTAGTAGTAATAGGAGTAGTAGTAGTACTAGTAGTAGTACTAGTAGTAGTATTAGTAGTAGTATTAGTAGTAATAGTAGTATTAGTAGTAGTAGTAGATGTAGAAGCAGTAGTAGTACTTTTATTAGTAGTAGTATACTAGTAGTAGTACTAGTAGTAGTAATAGTAGTAGTACTAGTAGTAGTAGTACTAGTAGTAGTAGTACTAGTAGTAGTAGTAGTATTACTAGTAATAGTAGTAATACTAGTACTAGTAGTAGTAGTAGTATTGTAGTAGAAGTAGTACTACTAATAGTACTAGTAGTAGTAGTATTGGTGGTAGTAGTAGTCGAACTAGTGTTAGTAGTACTAGTATTAGTATTAGTACTAGTAGTATCAGTAGTAGTATCAGTACAAGTACTATTATTAGTAGTACTAGTAGAAGTACTGGTAGTAGTAGTAGTAGTAATATTAGTAGTAGTATTATTAGTAGTAGTTGTAGTATTAGTAGTTGTACTAGTATTAGTAGTAGTACTAGAAGTAGTAGTAGTATTACTAGTAGTAGTAGTAGTAGTACTAGTAATAGTAGTAGTACTAGTGGTATTAGTAGTACTATTAGTAATAGTAGTAGTAATAGTACTATTAGTACTAGTACTAGTAGTAGTAGTAGTACTAGTATTAGTTGTAGTAGTAGTAGTACTAGTATTAATTGTAGTACTAGAAGTAGTAGTAGTACTAGTGGTATTAGTAGTACTAGTAGAAAAGTAGTAGTAGTAATACTAGTAGTACTAGTACTAGTAGTAGTAGTAGTACTAGTAGTAGTAGTATTGGTGGTAGTAGTAGTCGAACTAGTGGTAGTAGTACTAGTATTAGTATTAGTACTAGTAGTATCAGTAGTAGTATCAGTACAAGTACTATTATTAGTAGTACTAGTAGAAGTACTGGTAGTAGTAGTAGTAGTAATATTAGTAGTAGTATTATTAGTAGTAGTTGTAGTATTAGTAGTTGTACTAGTATTAGTAGTAGTACTAGAAGTAGTAGTAGTATTACTAGTAGTAGTAGTAGTAGTACTAGTAATAGTAGTAGTACTAGTGGTATTAGTAGTACTATTAGTAATAGTAGTAGTAATAGTACTATTAGTACTAGTACTAGTAGTAGTAGTAGTACTAGTATTAGTTGTAGTAGTAGTAGTACTAGTATTAATAGTAGTACTAGAAGTAGTAGTAGTACTAGTGGTATTAGTAGTACTAGTAGAAAAGTAGTAGTAGTAATACTAGTAGTACTAGTACTAGTAGTAGTAGTCGTACTAGTAATAGCAATAGTAGTAATAGTATCAGTGCTAGTAGTAGTAGTACTAGTAGTAGTACTGGTAGTAGTAGTAATAGTATTAGTACTAGTATTAGTAGTAGTACTAGTGGAAGAAGTTCTAGTAGTAGTAGTACTAATAGTCGTAGTAGTATTAGTAGTAGTACTAGTAGTAGTAGTAGGAGGAGTACTAGTAGTAGTAGTATTATTAGTAGTACTATTAATACTATTATTAGGAGTACTAGTAGTAGTAGTGTTAGTAATACTAGTAATAATATTAGTAGTACTAGTAGTAGTATTAGTATTGGTAGGAATAGTAGTAGTAGTAATAGGAGTAGTAGTAGTACTAGTAGTAGTACTAGTAGTAGTATTAGTAGTAGTACTAGTAGTAGTAGTACTAGTAGTAGTAGTAGAAGTAGCAGTAGTATTAGTAGTACTTTTATTAGTAGTAGTATACTAGTAGTAGTACTAGTAGTAGTATTAGTAGTAGTACTAGTAGTAGTAGTACTGGTAGTAGTAGTATTACTAGTATTATTACTACTAGTAGTAGTAGTAGTATTACTAGTAGTACTAGTATTTGTACTAGTAGTCGTAGTCGTGTTATTAGTACTGGTAGTAGTAGTAATAGTACTCATAGTACTAGTAGTAGTACTAGTAGTAGTAGTAGTACTAGTAGTAGTAGTAGTAGTACTAGTAGTAGTAGTTGTAGTAGTACTAGTAGTAGTAGTAGTATTATTAGTAATAGTAGTAGTAGTACTAGTAGTAGTAGTAGTACTAGTAGTAGTAGTACTAATAATAGTAGTAATACTAGTACTAGTAGTAGTAGTAGTATTTGTAGTAGTAGTAGTACTACTAATAGTACTAGTAGTAGTAGTATTGGTGGTAGTAGTAGTAGTACAATTGGTAGTAGTACTAGTATTATTATTAGTACTAGTAGTATCAGTATTAGTATCAGTAAAAGTACTATTAGTAGTAGTACTAGTAGAAGTACTGGTAGTAGTAGTATTAGTAATATTAGTAGTAGTATTATTAGAAGTAGTTGTAGTATTAGTAGTTGTACTAGTATTAGTAGTAGTACTAGAAGTAGTAGTAGTATTACTAGTAGTAGTAGTAGTACTAGTAGTAGTAGTAGTACTAGTGGTATTAGTAGTACTATTAGTAATAGTAATAGTATTAGTACTAGTAGTACTAGTACTAGTAGTAGTAGTAGTACTAGTATTAATTGTAGTACTAGAAGTAGTAGTAGTACTAGTGGTATTAGTAGTACTAGTAGATAAGTAGTAGTAGTAATACTAGTAGTACTAGTACTAGTAGTAGTAGTAGTACTAATAGTAGTAGTAGTGGTAGTAGTAATATTACTAGTATTATTAGTAGTAGCACTAGTAGTAGTAGTACTAGTAGTAGCAATAGTAGTAATAGTATCAGTGCTAGTAGTAGTAGTAGTACTAGTAGTAGTACTGGTAGTATTATTAATAATATTAGTACTAGTATTAGTAGTAGTACTAGTGGAAGAAGTTCTAGTAGTAGTAGTACTAATTGTCGTAGTAGTATTAGTAGTAGTACTAGTAGTAGTAGTAGTATTATTAGTAGTATTATTAGTACTAATATTAGGAGTACTAGTAATAATAGTAGTGTTAGTAATTCTAGTAATAATATTAGTACAATTAGTAGTAGTATTAGTATTGGTAGGAATAGTAGTATTAGTAATAGGAGTAGTAGTAGTACTAGCAGTAGTACTAGTAGTAGTATTAGTAGTAGTACTAGTAGTAGTAGTACTAGTAGTAGTATTACTAGTAGTAGTAGTACTAGTAGTAGTAGTGGTAGTAGTAGTAGTATTAGTAGTAGTATTAGTAGTAGTACTAGTAGTAGTACTGGTAGTAGTAGTAGTAATATTAGTAGTAGTATTATTAGTAATAGTTGTAGTAGTAGTTGTACTAATAATAATAGTCGTACTAGAAGTAGTAGTAGTATTACTAGTACTAGTAGTAGTAGTTCTAGTAGTAGTTGTAGTAGTAGTAGTAGTACTAGTATTAATTGAAGTACTAGAAGTAGTAGTAGTATTACTAATAGTATTAGTAGTAGTAGTATTAGTGGTAGTAGTAGTACTAGTAGAAAAGTAGTAGTAGTAATACTAGTAGTACTAGTACTAGTAGTAGTAGTAGTACTAATAGTAGTAGTAGTTGTAGTAGTAATATTACTAGTATTAGTAGTAGTAGCACTAGTAGTAGTAGTAGTACTAGTAGTAGCAATAGTAGTAATAGTATCAGTGCTAGTAGTAGTAGTAGTACTAGTAGTAGTACTGGTAGTATTAGTAATAATATTAGTACTAGTATTAGTAGTAGTACTAGTGGAAGAAGTTCTAGTAGTATTAGTACTAATTGTCGTAGTAGTATTAGTAGTAGTACTAGTAGTAGTAGTATTATTAGTAGTATTATTAGTACTATTATTAGGAGTACTAGTAATAATAGTAGTGTTAGTAATTCTAGTAATAATATTAGTATTATTAGTAGTAGTATTAGTATTGGTAGGAATAGTAGTATTAGTAATAGGAGTAGTAGTAGTACTAGTAGTAGTACTAGTAGTAGTATTAGTAGTAGTACTAGTAGTAGTAGTACTAGTAGTAGTATTACTAGTAGTAGTAGTACTAGTAGTAGTAGTGGTAGTAGTAGTAGTACTAGTAGTAGTAGTAGTGGTAGTAGTAGTGGTACTAGTAGTATTAGTAGTAGTACTACTAGTAGTATTAGTACGGGTAGTAGTAGTAGTACAAAGAGTATTAGTAGTAGTTCAAGTAGTAGTAATAGTATTATTAATGTTAATAGTAGCACTGGTAGTACTGGTAATAGTACTAGTAGTAGTCGTAGTAACAGTAGTGTTACTAGTAGTAGTAGTACTAGTAGTATTAGTAATACTAGTAGTAGAGTAGTAGTATTAGTAGTAGTAGTTCTCGTATTAGTAATAGTACTATTAGTAGTAGTAGTATTAGTAGTAGCAGTATTATTAATACTAGTAGTAGTAGTAGTATTAGTAGTAGTAATATTAATTATAATAATATTAGTACTAGTAATAATAGTAGCAGTAATAGTATTAGTTGTAGTACTAGTAGTATTAGTAGTACTAGTAGTAGTAGTACTAGTATTAGTAGTGGCACTAGTAGTATTAGTATTAGTACTACTAGTAGTAATAGTAGTAATATTAATAGTACTAGTAGTAGTAATAGTAGTAGTACTAGTGGTAGTACTAGTAGTACTAGTAGTAGTACTGGTAGTAGTAGTAGTATTAGTACTCGTAATAGTATTAGTACTAGTGGAAGTAGTACTAGTAGTATTAGTACTAATAGTCGTAGTAGTATTAGTAGTAGTACTAGTAGTAGTAGTAGGAGGAGTACTAGTAGTAGTAGTAGTATTATTAGTAGTACTATTAATACTATTATTAGGAGTACTATTAGTAGTAGTAGTGTTAGTAATACTAGTAATTATATTAGTACTATTACTAGTAGTATTATTATTGGTAGGAATATTAGTAGTAGTAATAAGAGTAGTAGTAGTACTAGTAGTAGTACTAGTAGTAGTATTAGTAGTAGTATTAGTAGTAATAGTAGTATTAGTAGTAGTAGTAGATGTAGAAGCAGTAGTAGTACTTTTATTAGTAGTAGTATACTAGTAGTAGTACTAGTAGTAGTAATAGTAGTAGTACTAGTAGTAGTAGTACTAGTAGTAGTGGTACTAGTAGTAGTAGTATTACTAGTAGTATTAATACTAGTAGTAGTAGTATTACTAGTAGTACTAGTAGTTGTACTAGTAGTAGTAGTCGTGTTATTAGTACTGGTGGTAGTAGTAATAGTACTCATAGTACTAGTAGTAGTACTAGTAGTAGTAGTAGTAGTAGCACTGGAAGTAGTAGTAGTAGTACTAGTAGTAGTAGTACTAGTGTAAGTAGTACTAGTAGTAGTAGTATTAGTAGTACTAGTACTAGTAGTAATAGTATTAGTCGTACTATTATTAGTACTAGTAGTAGTAGTATTACTAGTAGTAGTATAGTAGTTGTAATACTAGTAGTAGTAGTAGTAGTACTAGTAGTAGTAGTAGTACTAGTAGTAGTACTAGTAGTAGTAGTACTAGTAGTAGTATTACTAGTAGTAGTAGTACTAGTAGTAGTAGTGGTAGTAGTACTAGTACTAGTAGTAGTAGTAGTGGTAGTAGTAGTGGTACTAGTAGTATTAGTAGTAGTACTACTACTAGTATTAGTACGGGTAGTAGTAGTAGTACAAAGAGTATTAGTATTAGTACAAGTAGTAGTAATAGTATTATTAATGTTAATAGTAGCACTGGTAGTACTGGTAATATTACTAGAAGTAGTCGTAGTAACAGTAGTGGTACTAGTAGTAGTAGTACTAGTAGTATTAGTAATACTAGTAGTAGAGTAGTAGTATTAGTAGTAGTAGTACTAGTATTAGTAATAGTACTATTAGTAGTAGTAGTATTAGTAGTAGCAGTATTATTAATACTAGTAGTAGTAGTAGTATTAGTAGTAGTAATATTAATTATAATAATATTAGTACTAGTAATAATAGTAGTAGTAATATTATTAGTTGTAGTACTAGTAGTAGTAGTAATACTAGTAGTAGTAGTACTAGTAGTAGTAGTGGCACTAGTAGTATTAGTATTAGTACTACTAGTAGTAATAGTGGTAATATTAATAGTACTAGTAGTAGTATTAGTAGTAGTACTAGTGTTAGTACTAGTAGTACTATTAGTAGTAGTAGTACTAGTAGTAGTACTGGTAGTATTAGTAGTAGTATTAGTACTCGTAGTAGTAGTAGTACTAGTGGAAGTAGTACTAGTAGTAGTAGTACTAATATTCGTAGAAGTATTAGTAGTAGTACTAGTAGTAGTAGTAGGAGGAGTACTAGTTGTTGTAGTAGTATTATTAGTAGTACTATTAGTACTATTATTAGGAGTACTAGTAGTAGTAGTAGTGTTAGTAATACTAGTAATAATATTAGTACTATTTATAGTAGTATTAGTATTGGTAGGAATAGTAGTATTAGTGATAGGAGTAGTAGTAGTACTAGTAGTAGTACTAGTAGTAGTATTAGTAGTAGTACTAGTAGTAATAGTAGTACTAGTAGTAGTAGTAGAAGTAGAAGTAGTAGTAGAAGTACTTTTATTAGTAGTAGTATACTAGTAGTAGTACTAGTAGTAGTATTAGTAGTAGTACTAGTAGTAGTAGTACTAGTAGTAGTAGTACTAGTAGTAGTAGTTTACTAGTAGTATTACTAGTAGTAGTAGTAGTATTACTAGTAGTAGTAGTAGTATTACTAGTAGTACTAGTAGTTGTACTAGTAGTAGTAGTCGTGTTATTAGTACTGGTAGTAGTGGTAGTAGTACTCATACTACTAGTAGTAGTACTAGTAGTAGTAGTAGTACTAGTAGTAGTAGTTGTAGTAGTACTAGTAGTAATAGTAGTATTATTAGTACTAGTATTAGTAGTACTAGTAGTAGTAGTAGTACTAGTAGTAGTAGTAGTAGTACTAGTAGTAGTAGTTGTATTAGTACTAGTAGTAGTAGTAGTATTATTAGTAATAGTAGTAGTAGTACTAGTAGTAGTAGTAGTACTAGTAGTAGTAGTACTAGTAATAGTAGTAATACTAGTACTAGTAGTAATAGTAGTACTTGTAGTAGTAGTAGTACTACTAGTAGTACTAGTAGTAGTAGTATTGGTGGTAGTAGTAGTAGTACTAGTAGTAGTAGTACTAGTATTAGTATTAGTACTAGTAGTATCAGTAGTAGTATCAGTACAAGTACTATTAGTAGTAGTACTAGTAGTAGTACTGGTAGTAGTAGTAGTAGTAATATTAGTAGTAGTATTATTAGTAGTAGTTGTAGTAGTAGTAGTTGTACTAGTATTAGTAGTAGTACTAGAAGTAGTAGTAGTATTACTAGTAGTAGTAGTAGTACTAGTAGTAGTAGTAGTACTAGTGGTATTAGTAGTACTATTAGTAATAGTAGTAGTAATAGTACTATTAGTACTAGTACTAGTAGTAGTAGTAGTACTAGTATTAATTGTAGTACTAGAAGTAGTAGTAGTACTAGTGGTATTAGTAGTACTAGTAGATAAGTAGTAGTAGTAATACTAGTAGTACTAGTACTAGTAGTAGTAGTACTAATAGTAGTAGTAGTGGTAGTAGTAATATTACTAGTATTATTAGTAGTAGCACTAGTAGTAGTAGTACTAGTAGTAGCAATAGTAGTAATAGTATCAGTGCTAGTAGTAGTAGTAGTACTAGTAGTAGTACTGGTAGTATTATTAATAATATTAGTACTAGTATTAGTAGTAGTACTAGTGGAAGAAGTTCTAGTAGTAGTAGTACTAATTGTCGTAGTAGTATTAGTAGTAGTACTAGTAGTAGTAGTAGTATTATTAGTAGTATTATTAGTACTAATATTAGGAGTACTAGTAATAATAGTAGTGTTAGTAATTCTAGTAATAATATTAGTACAATTAGTAGTAGTATTAGTATTGGTAGGAATAGTAGTATTAGTAATAGGAGTAGTAGTAGTACTAGCAGTAGTACTAGTAGTAGTATTAGTAGTAGTACTAGTAGTAGTAGTACTAGTAGTAGTATTACTAGTAGTAGTAGTACTAGTAGTAGTAGTGGTAGTAGTAGTAGTTTTAGTAGTAGTATTAGTAGTACTAGTAGTAGTATTAGTAGTACTAGTAGTAGCAGTAGTAGTAGTAGTATCAGTACTAGTAGTATTAGTATTAGTACTAGTAGTAGTACTGGTAGTAGTAGTAGTAATATTAGTAGTAGTATTATTAGTAATAGTTGTAGTAGTAGTTGTACTAATAATAATAGTCGTACTAGAAGTAGTAGTAGTATTACTAGTACTAGTAGTAGTAGTTCTAGTAGTAGTTGTAGTAGTAGTAGTAGCACTAGTATTAATTGAAGTACTAGAAGTAGTAGTAGTATTACTAATAGTATTAGTAGTAGTAGTACTAGTGGTAGTAGTAGTACTAGTAGAAAAGTAGTAGTAGTAATACTAGTAGTACTAGTACTAGTAGTAGTAGTAGTACTAATAGTAGTAGTAGTTGTAGTAGTAATATT